ACGGCATAAGGCACACACATTTGCCTCCTTGGATGAGCAAGCAGATGCCACCTCAGAGCCATCTCCTGTCCCTCCCTTGCAGACTGCTACCACCTTGTGGTCACCCACTTCCCTGGGTTGACAACAGCAGCTGAAACCTTTAAAAGTTAATTCTGTTTTCCCCTGTTCTCTTAGCTGTTCCATTGGAGATAAATGATTTCTAGGGAAAGGGGCAGCAAACCCAAAGCACTGTGGGAGAACTGTGTCACTGTGGAAAAAGTAACACTAAAGCAAAACATGACAAAAAAGTTTTTCATACAGTCTACACAAAGATCTCAAAATAGCACGTACCGCTCCATTGTGCAAGTGCACATAAAACTCTTTCAAGGAAAGATAGCACAGATGCTTTAAAAACAAATCAGCTATTTGTGAAGAACAATTTCTGTAACATCAAACAAAGCTTTAGTGCACTCTCCCTGAAATCCTACCATCCTTGATTCGTTCAGGAACAAATTAACACTGAGACAGAGAAACAGTTCGTAATATCAAGCTTAAAGAACACATTTTAAATCAAGCTTCTACCAACACACATGTTTTTTCTCAAGGAAAAATACAACAATACATAACTTCTCACCAGAAGTACCCAAAGGTTCCTGGAGACCCCAGACTAAAATTTAGGCTGTGAACTTCTCCCTGCCAGCTCAGCAGCTCACTTCTGAGCTCCTGTAAAGGATAACGCTGCCCAGTGGGCACGACAGATTTATGACAGTGTTTCCATTCTCAGTTCTGTCACTCCATCCTCCGGGCAAAGGCGCTCCTGCCTCCTGTCACTGCCCTCCCTGCCTCTCCTGTTCACCTCTCTGAAGTAAGGGGGGACTCCTAGCAAAACACAGTACCTAACGCAACATGATTCTGATTGAGACGATGATTTTCAAGTACCATGACGACAGAAATAAAAGTGAATAATTGAAATAAGAGCATGTGGTTGATTTTGTTTTGTGAATAGATTACAGAGACTATTGTTTATACAAAGGAAGCAAATCTGATCATTCAAGTGGCATTCTGGGAAACCAAAAAAGTAGTTCTGGAAATATCAAGATATTGATCAGTTAATACTGCTTTTCAGCCTACAAAACACAATAATTTTTAAGGCCTGTTTCAGGAGTTTTCCCACTATTTACTCATGTCATAAAGGTTTCCTTGGGGTCCACAGTAGTACTCTAGAAATTATTACATTAAACACACAGTTTTCACTCCTCATAAGTAGGAAAACATTACGGTTTAGATCTCTGCTCTTGGAGACTTAATTCCTTTCAAACATTTTAATAATGTGGGGCAGAAGTTCCACACCTGCCTGCACCTCAGGACCATCTTTTGGTGAAGAAGAAACAGACATACTGCTCTCCAGTGCTGAAGATGCATGCTTTGACTCTAGAGGGGGTTGTATAATCATATGTGGGATGTCATTATCGCAGGGTGTAAGCCTGCAAGTAGGTCGTGGTCATTAGGTGGACATCGGTTCCCCAATTTCGGCCCAGACAGATTTTCTAAACAGAGTGACACGTGCCTGTGTGTTTTCCAGAGAGGTCGGGTTTACCGCACGGGATGACCAGGAAGCATGAGACACACTGTGCAAGAGCGAGCATGTCAGTGGCACACGCAGATGGAAGGCCAACACTTGCAGCGCCAGCTCAGCGTGCAGCAGCCTGATGAACCTGCCACACATTTACGGTTTCTAAAGTCAAAAAGCAGGTGCCTTTGGTCTCGTCTGGCACTGAAGGACACTTGGGAGGTCTAAGCCAGACCAGGAAGTGGCTGGCTGACTGCCATCTTGCCGCAGCACGGGCTGTGGGGAACCAGCACTGGGGTGTGCTGCGGGCACACGCTTGCACTCTGCACCCCACCGCAGCTGCACAGGAGGACGAGTACCAACCAGGAGCAGACACTTTTTCGGGGGCCAGGCTGTAGGTACTGTAGTTACCAGGAACTAGGACAGAAGGCGTTGCCTTGCTGATCTGAATGTGTAGGATTTGTAAGCACTGCGTTTACTTTATTGCAATGTTTTATGCTACCTGTGTTTACCAAGGTGGAGGAGAAAGGGTTACATCTAAGAGGAATACTGGATATTAGGAAAAATTTCTTTACCGAGAGAGTGGTCAGGCACTGAGACAGGCTGCCCGGAGAGGTGGTGGAGTCACCATCCCTGGAGGTGTTCAAATAACCTGCAGATGTGGCACTTCGGGACATGGTTTAGCAGGCATGGTGGTGTTGGGGTGACGGTTGGACCTGATGATCTTAGAGGTCTTTTCCAACCTACGATTCTACGAGGAACGCGCCTGTTCTCTCCGCACAGCCCATGCCAGCAGCAGCCCCAGAAGGCACGGGGAAGACGCCTTGCAGCTTCTCCC